GCCTGCTTAAGTTCATAAAATCTCTGCTACAAATATTACCGAAATAAGTTTGTTCTCTGATACTTGTAGCGGTCAAAACAGAAATCAGTTTATTACAGCATTATTTCTATTTATCGTACAAACCAGCATATTTTTTTAGAATCTGCATATGAATAGCATATTCATAGGCCAAAGGATCGTAAAATAGCGATAAAGTGAATAGGAGATGAGTCACATCTAGACTCAGTAAAGCGGCCATTACACTACTCGCGAAGTTGATCAAAGTTCAGCGAGAAGAGTGTAGACAGGTAATTCATGCGACTTCGCTTCGCCTCGTTCTACTTTCGTTACGAAAGTAGAACGAGGCGAAGCGAAGTCGCATGAAGTACCTGTCTCGTTCTGTGTCGGTTCTTGCGTCCGAGTCTAAGGGCCAGAAGTTAGAATACGAAGTGTCACACTACATTACTCGACTTTACTTTACTCAATATCCTTGCTAGTGCACGTCGTTTTTGCAATTTTCAGGATGAGTATGTTTTCACAGGCTACTATGCGTAATGTGGCTTGCAAAGTCGAAATACAGGGCGAACAATCACAGGGGTTTGAAACGCATGTTGGGCTGAGACAGGGAGACGCGCTGGCTCCTTGCCAACATAGCACTGGAAAAGGCGATCAGAGATGCCCGAATAGACAATAGAGGAAATATTTTTAATAAATCATCCCAAATTTTGGCATATGCAGATGATGTGGACCTAGTTGACCGCACAACACGCAAGCTAGAAGAAATGTATACCACCTTCTCAAATGCCTCAAAATCTATGGGCCTGCAAGTAAATGAGGAGAAAACTAAGATGATGGCATCAACACCCAACAATAGAGTCAGGAACATCGGTCCCCAATTCACGGTTGATAACTCTACCTTTGAAGTGGTGGACAAATTCACATACTTAGGCTCCCTGATCACCAGAGAGAACGCCATAACGGAAGAAATCAAGCGAAGGATAATGATGGCAAACAGATGCTATTTTGGACTGAGTAGACATATTAGAAGTAGAAACTTAAGCCAAAAAACAAAATAACCATATACAAAACCCTTATACAGCCAGTGTTGACATATGGATCGGAAACATGGACCATCTCCAAGGCAGACGAAGACCTTCTGCTTATATTTGAACGAAGGATCCTGAGAGGAATATTTGGTGGCATCTGTGAAAATGGTGTTTGGAGGAGGAGATATAACTACGAGGTTATACCACAGACATAAACAAATATTTGGTGGTAAAGACGTAGTATCTCTTATAAGAATAGGAAGACTAAGATGGGCAGGACATCTAGCAAGATCACAGCAGAACAACCCTCCTAGAAGAATCCTTATGTCACAACCCGTGGGAAGCAGAAAAAGGGGTAGGCCAAAACTCAGATGGAAGGATGGTGTAGATGAGGATGGTAGAAAGATAGGCGCAGCAAACTGGCAACGGTTGGCAATGGATAGGACTGTCTGGCGTAATAGACTTGGAAAGGTCGAGGCTCTTTCATAGGGCTATAGCACCATTGATGATGATGTATGTTGGTCACAGGAGCAAAACTGTTTTGTTTTTAGAACTATTCAAGGAGAGTCCGTGATTTCGGAGGCTAAATATGCGGCCTACAAAGATAAATATGTACATGGAAGTTAAAACAACTAAGAGCACACTAAGCAGTGGCACCTTCAACTTGAACGCCATCCATTATTAAAGCCTGTCTACCGCACCGACTGAGTGTTTTCGGCAATTCAACTAGTATGTAGGTAGAGTCACCTCGCGTCGATTAACTTCACTTTGACAATTCGTCCAAAGAACTTTACTAGACGGAGTTTAAAAGAATAGCAGGATCTGTTCACGTATAATTAGTTAGACACGCTGTTGAATGGATAATTAGAATGTCTGTAATTTTTGGTAGATTCGCCTTCTTCCATTTATTAATATAACCTGAATTTCATGGTGTCCAATTTTCGATAGGTTTTATGCAATTTGTTTAAGTTAGTATACTTCCAAACAATAATGAATAACATAATAAAAACATAGACAAATTCTCCCCAATTACATAATGGAACAAGGGCATGGAATATTTAAAAAATTATAAAACTAAAGGAATTTTTCGTAGGATTTCTTCAAATTATCTAAAATAAGTATATCTAAAATAGGGATTGATGTAGTTTTATAGACAAGAATAAATAGTATTCTTGCATAATGTTATTTAACGTAAATTTCTTTCACCTACTTGTTTAATAATTTTTTTCTAAAACAAATACTACCGTGCTAAGGATAATTTATATTCAAAGTAGATTAAACTAGAACATTTTGTCAATTTAAATAGTGGTGGTTAGATTGACCATATGTTTGTTAGAGTGTACCGTTTTTGAGCATCTGCGATTAGGGGTTAAAATTAGGGTTTTGGTAAATATATTTAACTTTTTATTTTCAAATGAAATACTTCTACTAAAAATAAAATAATTGTGGGAAACATTTTAATTTGTTTATGTACGGTTGCCAACCATTTCTAAACTTTTTATCAAACATAATTAAATTACAATCGGCATTCCTAATGATCATTACGCTAATTTGCCTAATGTGTTTAGGATCTTTATAAACAGATATATTATATTTTTCCTCTCAAGCACAACAGTTAAGTGTCTTCATATTGATCTAAACTCAGTATATTCTAATTCAAACGTGTAGTTTCAAGTGACCATCATGCCTCGACGTAAGTTGGATTAATACCTCTTGGTTGGATATGATGAATTAATTGCAAATCTGCATAAATACTTTACCATGGAAAGAGACCTTTAAAGTCATTATTATGTATAAATCAACGCGTTTGTGTCGTACTTGGGATAAGTGAACGTAAGCTAAAAACTGTAATGAAGACTATCAGATATCCTCAAGAAGATCTTACTGTGACTGAGTATCACGAAGACAAGAAAACAACTGGTAAACATTCTAAGAGCACTGATTTACCTGATGGAGAAAAATTTGAAACTCGCAATATTTTGTACCGAATGCGTGAAAACAATCAACATGTCAGTTTAGATACTTTACAGGCCAAAATAAGAGAAAGACAAGTTTCTGAAATTAAGAGGACTAGTCTTTGGAAAGGGTTGAGAGATTTAGGATTTAAATTCAAAAAAGAAAATAATAGGTTACTTTTATGCGAAAGGAGTAGTGTGGTTCATAAAAAAATTAAATTTTTGAAAGAATATACTAGACTTAAATCTGAAAATGCAACATTCGTATACGTTGATAAGACATGGATATTTGCAAAGGATGGAATTAAAAGAATTTGGCAAGACGACAGCATAAAATCAATAAAACTCACAGATAGCGAAGGCAAAAGACACATCATTCTTCATGCAGGAGGGAAATAAGGTTTTATAGAAAACGCAAATTTGATTTTTTCTTCAAATTCAAAATCTGCTGATTACCATGAAAACATGAATACAGATATGTTTGTTAAATGGCTTGTAGAGAAACTGTTACCTAGTCTGAGTGAAACATCAGTTATAGTTTTAGATAATGCACCTTATCATTCGAAGATTTTAAAGAAATAACCATAATAGTCGTGGAACAGACCGAGAATAAAAAATTAATTAGTTAAAAATAATATCAATTTTCGGGAATACGCCTTCAAATCAGAGGACATACTGGAAATTTCGAAACGTAATGGAAAACCAACAGTTTATATAGTTGACTAAATTGTATCAAGTTTTATTTGAATTTTAATTACGCTACCGCAAACGCCCAAATTAATGATTTTTTTGCCATTTTCTCAGGCCTGTAACTCCTATATGCCTTAAGTCTACAACTTCAAATTTTTACCCCTTATTCTACTCATTAGGAACTAACATTCAGCCAAATTTCAAATTTTTACTTGCTTGCCCATCAGAGATATAAGGGCTCAAATATTGAAATTTTTGAAAAAATTACATCTTTGAAATTTTTTTTGAAAAAAATTGACTTAAGTCTCAAAGCTCAAACTTTTTTCATGTATGTATGTCTTTTCCAGAAAAAAATTACAAACTATTATCAGCTTGCCTTATGTTGTTAAAAAAAATGCTAAAAACGGAATTTTATCAGTTTACTTTGAAACTGATATCAGGTTTTGAAACTTTGAGATCCATTTAAGGTTTAAGGGTTGTTTGTAATTAAATGATGCTATGGACCACTTTTTTAGAGCATACTTTTACAAACAGTTTCGTTTTTGATCTATTGTTCTAGGACAAATCTAAGTGAAATTATTGGATAAAGAACGAAGTCATGTTTTTCGTGAAAATGAAACACGATGAAACAAAAATAGCCGCCATCGGCAAAATAAATTTAAAAAAATAAAATTAATGCGATTTTGTAAAAAATAAAAAATATTAAAACTAGTCAAGCAACCAACTTAATTTATATTGGACCACTTCATATGGATTGACCCATACCGTAAGTAATTAAAAAGATTATGGAGAACTCCAGTGCAGTTTACCATGCCTTTTACTACAACGAAAGATTTTCGGCAAATTCCATTAGTCGTTTAGAAGTGTAAGTTGGTTAAATGTACTTTTTTTGTAAGTATTAACCACACTCTTGTAATGACCTTGGTCAAATTTTCAACTTTCACGTTTGCTTCAACGAAAGTGGTTATACTTATTTTAGGATGTCACTGATGATGGAATAAATATTCCGAAAACGTTCTGCGATGTAGCCCGATAAGGTTTTTTTAAATATACCTTTTATAAAGGAAACTTGTTAAATAAACATGTCTGTGATATATGGTGTACAGCCAACTACAGGAATTTAGTTTCCTTTAGCCAACACTGAATAGAATTTATCATACGAATGGGTACAAATATCCCAATAATTGATTGTTATATTAATAAGTTTATATATTTTATAATTCAATAATAATGAACGCATATCCTTGTCCCATTATGCAGTTGTTAGAGCTCATAACAAAAAGGAATTCAAACAAAAAGTCATTAGCCACACAAAAAACTTAAAATATACCAAAATATCTCTGTGAGAAAGGATTGAAATCGAAATCTCTTCTGTAGGATCTTGTTTTTGACGAGGTACTTCGGCTGCTTCGACTGTCATAAATCTTTCTTTTAGAATCTATAAAAATGAACAACAACGATATCTAAGGCCTATATTTAATTAAAAAAATAATAATGATGATTAGGCTGAAATCTGGTGTGTAGCAAAAATAAGGTTAGATGTGTTATAATACAATAATTATGTAAAGTGTCGCTACTTTTGCTTTCTCTTATTGTCATGTTAATTTACCTAATTCTACGTTCCATATTTCTGTAAATTAATAAGTTAACAATCAAATTATTCAGTTCGTCCAAGGTCATTATGCAATACAAAGTTTACTCGTATTTTCCCATCATGTATGGAGAAACCATATTTATAATAAGAGGTATAAGACATAGTGTAAAAGATATAATGTGTGGTTTAGTTCAAATGTTGGATTTTCAAAGGAAATTCCTAATTTCCTGATGATTATAATTTATAACAAAGTAATGAAAAAACCAATAATAAGTAAAAGTAATAGATTTATACACATATCTACAAGTAGCCCAGTCTGGTTAAAAAATAAGGTCGAAAAATTATTCGCAGATATCTGAAGCTTTTAATATTTTATTTTGTTAATAAAAAAATTATTAAAAATTTAAAAATTAGCGCAAAAAACTGATTTTTTGTAAATATCTTCGTAAATAATTTATCAATTTTAATTTAAAAAACGGGAACATAAAGATATTCTTGGAAATAACTTATAATAGACTAGGCGGCATCTGTAGAAATTCAGACCATAATGTAAATTTTCCATAGGAAGCTATTTTTTGCTGGAATCCCTTCAGGATAAGCCCAGTATCGATAATCACGATATGCGCCAGTCGCAAACCCTGTGCTAAATTTTTTATTTAACAAAATCTGAAAATAATTGAAAATTTCTCATTTTTTTGCTCTTATTTTCATTTATAATTCGGAAAATATTGATCCTAGAGAGAAAATATTATAAGAAGTTAAAAGTTTCATTATTCAATTTTACACAATATTTCGTTAGCTAGAAATTGAAAATTTAATGTTTATTGTTAAAAAAATAGCAATAATTGGAAAAAAAAGTACAAAAAATGAAGTTAATCCTTTAAATGTTATCGACTTTCTAAACTTGACTTACAAGTTCCATATTCCGCCTAGAAAAACTTTTTAATATGTTTAAAACGTGTGCTAAATTTTGTTAAGATCGGTCGGATAGGTTTTGCATAATAATTTTGCAATCCAGCCTAATACTGGAAAAAAAATCGAAATTTTCAAATTCATAGTAGGCCCTAAATAAGGCCCTCAGATAGTTGCAATTTTTTTTTACATATAAAGGAAGTCTCAAACTTTCAAACGCTTTTTGTAAAATTTAAATCGGTTCACTAGGAGAGCCTAAAAATTTTTTTAAAGTTATAAACAATTTTTAGGCTTATGAACAAATTAAATAACTTTACAAGCTTTAAACATATCAATTTCAAAATGTATACACTTAAAGAACATTAAAAGACGCTTCTTTTTAAAAAACAAAAAGATACATTCGGCTTACTGGTTGCCTAGATATTGAAGGTCAAAGTTGGCATACATTTGATATATAACCATAAGTGATAGAGGGCTCGTTTTTAAACAAATACCCTCGTCTTGCCAAATACTTTTTATATGAAAAGTTTTACGTAATGCGCTTCATGGCAACATCCATAAAAAGACAAATAAAAAACCGTTTTCGCGTAAAATGTCGTTCGAAATGCATGAGAGGTGGTGGTGAGGGACATTCACTTCAAATGTGAATCGGCGAGTATCAAGTAGGGGACCATCAGTTTGTTTAATTTCGGATTTTGAAATAAAAACAAATAGTAAAGTGCTCCAAAATCTGTAAGGGCTTGTATTGAAGGCGTGCTGTACACGTTTTTTAGTGGTTTGATCATATGTTCAACGCTATTATATAGTAGTTATTTTTGTCAAATCCGTGTGTTTTAACAGTAAAATATTTTGTATTTCAAAAACTAATAAAAGTTTATATATTTCGCGTTGCTTTGTGAGGATTGTACAAGCACATCGACTCCATTTTAAGAGAAGTTTCATATAGTAGAAGATAATTCATATAATTTAAAATTTAGATAATACTTGGAATCTGAGAGGCGACATTTTACGCAAAAACGGTTTTTTATTTGTCTTTTTTATGGATGTTGCCATGAAGCGCATTACGTAAAACTTTTCATATAAAAAGTATTTGGCAAGACGAGGGTATTTGTTTAAAAACGAGCCCTCTATCACTTATGGTTACACGGCAAATGTATGTCAACTTTGACCTTCAATATCTCGGCAACCAGTAAGCCGAATGTATCTTTTTGTTTTTTAAAAGAAGCGTCTTTTAATGTTCTTTAAGTGTATACATTTTGAAATTGATATCTTTAAAGCTCGTAAAGGTATTTAATTTGTTTATAAGCCTAAAAATTGTTTATATCTATAAAAAAATTTTTTAGGCTCTCCTAGTCAACCGATTTGAATTTTTTAAAAAGCGTTTGAAAGTTTGAGACTTCCTTTATATGTAAAAAAAAAATTGCAACTATCCGAGGGCCTTATTTAGGGCCTACTATGAATTTGATAATTTGCGATTTTTTTCCAGTAGGCTGGATTGCAAAATTATTATGCAAAACCTATCAGACCGATCTTAACAAAATTTAGCACACGTTTTAAACATATTAAAAAGTTTTTCTAAGCGGAATATGGAACTTGTAAGTCAAGTTTAGAAAGTCGAAAACATTTAAAGGATTAACTTCATTTTTTTGTACTTTTTTTTCCAATTATTGCTATTTTTTCAACAATAACCATTAAATTTTCGATTTCTAGCTAACGAAATATTGTGTAAAATTGAATAACGAAACTTTTAACTTCTTATAATTTTTTCTCTAGGATCAATATTTTTCGAATTATAAATGAAAATAAGAGCAAAAAAATGAGAAATTTTCAATTGTTTTCAGATTTTGTTAAACAAAAAATTTAGCACAGGGTTTGCGACTGGCGCATATCGTGATTATCGATACTGGGCGTATCCTGAAGGGATTCCAGCAAAAAAATAGCTTCCTATGGAAAATGTCCAATCCAAAACAGATCCCGCCTAGACTATAAGGCAAAAAATCAAATTGTGACCATGATTGTTAAAAAAAAACGCAAGGTAAAAATACGATTACTTTTTCATCTATTCGTCATCTATAACCCTCCCACCCACCTGTCTGCATAACCAGACTGGGCTAACAGGTTGAAACACATTTTATATCAAAGTTTAGGTGAAAACAAAAACTTCATAAAAACATGAAATACCGTAGCAGTTAAAAAAGTAAATTTTGTGCAAAAATGGCCCATTTTCATTATTTAAACAATGATCCCGTCATATAACTCAATAATTTCTTAAAAATATCTTTTATTGTCACCTAAACTTTGTTTTAACCTGTACAGAATTACATTTTGATTTTATTTTATTTGATCAAGCTATGGTCTCTTCAATATTTATACATCGTTGTCATCTGATGCTAACGTTCAACAAAAACACAGATTGGTTTTTAAGTTAGTTATAAAGTAATCTATTTTATTGACTAATTAGTCGGGAAAATTATATTTATCTAACAAATAAAGACGTCAGATGCTACCATTACGATTGTCAACAGATGGAAACTATATAATAACATATAAACAAAAAAAAATGACTAATAATGCCATTACAGTTAATAATTAGGTAAAAACACTAATTCCGCTAATCATCATTTGTAAAATCGAAGATAACTTTAGTAGAAGATGGTTTCTCTAATAAATGTATGATTCATTTTTAACAAAAAATATAAATCATATAGCGCGAGAATCGGCTGCAAAATTGTCACTTAATCATTTGGTATGTTAATAACATTCCTAAAATTGTTTAGAAACTTCAAACATTGATGACATTGGAGAGCAAATATTGACTGTTTGCTGTAACTTTAGCAATAAGTTTATATATATTTCATAAGAAGACAAATTAGATGACTGTTAAGTCCCACCGAGACTTTACTATCGTATCGTTTTGACTCGTTAATAGCTTGAATGGATGATAATTGGAATGGAAGGAATCTTCGGTTATTATTATACTTCCGGGAATCTCGTCTTCGAAGATAAATTTCAGTGCTAGGTGTTCTTATTTTCATGCCTGAATCATTTTACATGCAATTTATCTTAAATATAATATTTTTAACATCAAATATGTCAAGATGGACAAATGACAAGTTCAGAAAAGTTAAAAGTAAAGTAGGAGGAAAAGCATACCAATTCGAAATAATAGAAAGATTCACGTATAGTCACGGTAACATATATTATAGAACGCTTTAAATGCGTTTGATCCCTTCTGTTTTACATCCGACCGAATGCCTGTGTCGAAGCACACTATACTATAAGCGTTTTATTTGGGAAGCAATTCGTTAGTAGAGTGTAGTGATTGCTTGCTGTAATTTAATATTAATATTTTGAATCATGATATGACGTCCGTGGGACAATGTGGTTGAATATATTACGTTACAATAACAACACTGATTTTGTAGAAGTGTCATTGCCAGTGTAAGAAGATTCGAATACATTTAAATATTGAAACACAGCAAGTATGTTGATGTAGATGCTTCACGTAACTATTGAAAATCACAATATACGATTGTGAAATAATTCTACAATAGAAATAATAAGAAATTGGAAACAACCGGTCGGAACACGAACTGCTGTGAGGAATATCTTCAAAATTGGATAAAGAAAATGGGCTTTCAATTTTAAAAAATAAATATAACGCCAAGCAGTTATGGAAGGCCAAAGAATAGTCAATATACGTAATATATACCCAAATTACTAAATATAGGCAAGAGAGCTGGCGACTTTAATATTTAGATGAAACTTGGTATGATACCCATGATACAATTAAGAAAGTATGGGCAGATGATTCAAACATGTGCATATTATGTTAACCGGCATATCTATGATATCGATCGATAATATCGACAAAAACAACACAATAAAAGTAAAAGTAGAAGGACTAACCGACCCTATTAAAGCTGGTAATG